TGTGTCCTTAGGCAAGACACTTCACCCACATTGCCCTAGTGTGTGAGTGATGATGATGGTCATCATTTTAAAAATGAATCAAAAATTAATTAAAAAAAAAAATCATGTTCCTAAATCAAGGCCTTAAAAAGTCAAGTGTTGTCCAAGTCTTATTTTTGATACTTATATATTATACTTTGGTTGTGCGCCCGGCAGAAACGAGTAAACCATCAGTAAAGTGGAGGAGAGCTGGATGGATCATGGGGAAGTGCAGCTTTAATCACAGAGACTCTAGATTCTATCAGAAGTAATCAGCATCTACCAGTCACACGTTAGTGTGGTAGAACAGTGTCGTACTCGTCTACAACTCAGTCACATTTGGACTCAGGCCCCGTTCACACTAGTGTGTATGTGAGTGGTGTTGTTGTGAGTGCAGTGTTCATTCACACTAGTGTGTATGTGAGTCCAGATGTGATGGGGACTGTGTGACTCCTGAAAACTCTGATACTCTGATGTAGGTCTGTCACCCACAAAACACTAAGAGTCTAGAATATATGTCCATTTATATAAACTCTGGTCCTGGTCTGGTCCTGGTCTGGTCTTGGTCTGGTCCTGGTCCTGGTCTGGTCCTGGTCTGGTCCTGGTCTGGTCCTGGTCTAGTCTAAACTGGACTTGTGTGTTTCAGGTTGGTCCTGCTGGAGAGCGCTGGGGTTCCAGGTCTGAGGAAGTGTGAGTTTGTTTTGTTTCCTTCACACAGTAAATGCAGAGAACAGCTCAGGTCATCACTCAGGTCATTCACTCAGGTCATCACTCTGTTCAAATGGTTCAAATGTCGACATCTCTGTGACAGGTGTGTGAGGTGTGTGACAGGTGCACTAAACATAGACTCAGTCAGAACAAAAGACTGAGGTGAAGTGTTTGTGTTTCAGACTCCTGTGACGTTTCTCTGGACTCAAACTCAGCTCACAAACTTCTGCTTCTGTCTGAGGACCATCAGACTGTGACTCATGTGAAGGAGGAGCAGGAGTATCCAGATCATGACGACAGGTTCACAGACTATGTTCAGGTCCTGAGCTGCACTGGCCTGAGGGGGCGCTGTTACTGGGAGGTGGACTGGAGCAGGGCGGTTGTTGTAGCAGTGAGTTACAAAAAGATCAGACGAAGAGGACAGGAACAGGAGTGTGGGTTTGGATTCAATGATCACTCCTGGAGTCTGGGGATCTATGAGGATGGACAGTACTTTGTCACTCACAACGGCAACGTAACACGACTCCAACGCTCCTGTCACTCAGAGAGAGGGGGCGTGTTCTCAGGCAGAGTGGGCGTGTTCCTGGACTCTGAGGCTGGAGCTCTGTCCTTCTATGATGTCTCCTCTGATAGAGAACTGTCCCACCTCTGGACCTTCTCCTCGTCCTTCTCTGAGCCTCTGTTTCCAGGGTTTGGACTGTGGGATAAAGAAGGTTCCTCTGTGACTCTGGTGAGTGACGAGACAAAACAGAATAGAAATTGCATGATGACACAACATCTATCCATTCATCCATTTTCTTCCGCTTATCCGGGGCCGGGTCACAGAGGCATCAGTCTAACCAGGGATTCCCAAACTTCCTGCACCCCAGACACGTCGTCCAGCTCCTCCGGGGGACCCCGAGGTGTTCCCAGGCCAGTCCAGAAACAAAGTCCCTCCAGCGTGTCCTGGGTCTTCCCCGGGGCCTCCTCCTGGTGGAACATGCCCGGAACACCTCCTGAGGGAGGCGCCCAGGAGGCATCCGGAACAGATGCCCGAGCCTCACTGGCTCCTCTCGACGTGGAGGAGCAGCGGCTCTACTCCGAGCTCCTCCCGTGTGACTGAGCTCCTCACTCTATCTCTAAGGGAGACGCCCAGCCACCCTGCGGAGGAAACTCATTTCGACACTTGTATCCGCGATCTTGTCCTTTCGGTCATTACCCAAAGCTCACGACCAGAGGTGAGAGTAGGAACAAAGACTGACCGGTAAATCGAGAGCTTCGCCTTTCGACTCAGCTCCTCTTCACCACAACGGTCCAATACAGCGACCGCATCACTGCCGAAGCTGCACCGATCCGCCTGTCAATCTCACGCTCCGTCCTCCCCTCACTCGTGAACAAGACCCCGAGATACTTGAACTCCTCCACTTGAGGCAAAGACTCTCCACCCACCTGGAGAGGACAAGACGCCTTTTTCCGGTCAAGGACCATGGCCTCGGATTTGGAGGAGCCGATCTTCATCCCAGCCGCTTCACACACGGGTCAAACCGCCCCAGTGCACATTGCAGGTCCTGGTCTGACAACAGGACAACATCATCTGCAAACAGCAGAGATGATCCTGTGGTCCCCAAACCGGACCCCCTCCGGCCCCTGACTGCACCTAGAAATTCTGTCCATAAAAACAATGAACAGAACCGGTGACAGGTGCAGCCCTGGCGGAGTCCAACATGCACCGGGAACAGGTCTGACTTACTGCCGGCAATGAACACAGCTCCTGCTCCGGTCATACAGGGACCGGACAGCCCTTAGCAAAGGGCCCCGGACCCCATACTCCAGAGCACCCCCACAGGACACCACGAGGGACACGGTCGAATGCCTTCTCCAGATCCACAAAGCACATGTGGACTGGTTGGGCAAACTCCCATGAACCGAGCACCCAATGGAGAGTGTAGAGCTGGTCCAGTGTTCCACGGCCAGGACGAAAACCACACTGCTCCTCCTGAATCCGAGGTTCGACTATCGGCCGGATTCTCCTCTCCAGTCCCTGGCATAGACCTTACCGGGAAGGCTGAGGAGTGTGATTCCCCTATATTTGGAACACACCCTCCGGTCCCCCTTCTTATACAGAGGGACCACCACCCCGGTTTGCCAGTCCAGAGGTACTGTCCCCGACCGCCACGCGATGTTGAAGAGGCGTGTCAGCCAAGACCCACAACATCCAGAGACTTAAGGTACTCAGGACGGATCTCATCCAACCCCGGAGCCTTGCCACCAAGGAGCTTTCCAACCACCTCAGTGACTTCAGCCAGGGTGATGGATGAGTCCACCTCCGAGTCCCCAGCCTCGGCCTCCTCGGAAGGACGTGACGGTGGGATTGAGGAGATCCTCAAAGTTTTCCTTCCACGCCGGACAACGTCCCCAGTCGAGGTCAGCAGCCCTCCCCCCGCACTGTAAACAGTGTTGGCGAAGAACTGCTTCCCCCTCCTGAGGCGCCGGACGGTTTGACACAATCTCTTTGAGGCCGTCCGATAGTCCTTCTCCATGGCCTCCCCGAACTCCTCCCAGCTCCGAGTTTTTGCCTCCGCGACCACACGGGCTGCAGCACGCTTGGCCCCCGGTACCTGTCAGCTGCCTCAGGAGTCCCCCGAGCCAGCAAAGCCCGATAGGACTCCTTCTTCAGCTTGACAGCATCCCTTACTTCCGGTGTCCACCACCGGGTTCTGGGATTGCCGCCGCGACAGGCACCACAGACCATAAGACCACAGCTACGAGTGGCCGCATTGACAATAGAGGTCGAGAATGAAGCCCGCTTGGACTCCATATCTCCAGCCTCCCCCGGAATCTGGGAGAAGTCCTCCCGGAGGTGCGAGTTGAAAGTCCCTCTGACAGAGGCTCCGCCAGACGTTCCCAACAGACCCTCACTACACGCTTGGGCCTGCCAGGTCTTTCCGGCTTCCTCCTCCACCAGCGAACCCAACTCACAACCAGGTGGTGATCAGTTGACAGCTCAGCCCCTCTCTTCCCCCGAGTGTCCAAGACACACGGCCGGAGGTCACATGACACGACTACAAAGTCGATCATCGACCTCCGGCCTAGGGTGTCCTGCTGCCACGTGCACTTATGGACCTTGTGCTCGAACATGGTGTTCGTTATGGACAAACTGTGACTAGCACAGAAGTCCAATAACAAAACACCACTCGGGTTCAGATCAGGGAGGCCGTTCCTCCCAATCACCCCTCTCCAAGTGTCACTGTCGTTGCCCACGTGGGCGTTGAAGTCCCCCAGGAGAACAACGGAGTCCCCAGTCGGTGCACTATCTAGTACCCCTCCCAAGGACTCCAGGAAGGCCGGGTACTCGAGTACTCTGCACTGCTGTTCGGCCCGTAGGCTGACACCACAGTGAGAGACCTGTCCCCGACCCGAAGGCGCAGGGACGTGACCCTCTCGTTCACCGGGGTGAACTCCAACACACGGTGGCTGAGCTGTGGGGCGATGAGCCCACACCAGCCCGCCCCCCCCACACCAGCTCGCCCCCGCCCCCCCCGCCCACACCAGCCGCCCACCCCCCCACACCAGCTCGCCGCCGCTCCCCGCGGCCAACGCCAGAGAAATGGAGAGTCCAGCCCCTCTCAAGGAGTTGGTTCCAGAGCCCAAACTGTGCGTGGAGGTGAGGCCGACTATATCTAGTCGGTAACGCTCAACCTCCCGCACAAGCTCAGGCTCCTTCCCCCCAGCGAGGTGACATTCAATGTCCCCAGAGCCACAGCCTCCATGTCCGGAGATCCGGTCGCCGAGGCCCCCGCCTTCGACTGCTGCCCAGATCCCTCTGCACCGGCCCCATATGGATCCTCCCGTGGGTGGTGGGCCCATGGAAGGGCGGCCCCACGTTGCTCCTCCGGGCTGAGCCCAGTCGGGTCCCGTGGGGGAAGACCCAGCCACCAGGTGCTCGCCTTCGAGCTCCCACCCCAGGCCTGACTGCAGGGTGGGACTCCGGTGACGCCAATCTGGGCGACATAACTGGCCTTTGATTAAAACTCATCATGTGGGGCTTCTGAACCGTCCCCCAGGACCTGTTTGCCTTGGGTGATCAGTGGCATGAACCCCCAACAACAGAGCTCCCAGGATCATTCGGGCATCAAACCCTCCACCACGATAAGGTGATGGATCAAGGAGGGGCACAACACAACAATGGGAACAAAAGAATATAGCTGCAAGCGGCAAGGTCTAAACCAGGACTAAACCAGGACTAAACCAGGACTAAACCAGGACTAAACCAGGTCTAAACCAGGTCTAAACCAGGTCTAAACCAGGTCTAAACCAGGACTAAACCAGGTCTAAACCAGGTCCATGGGTGTATTCTAGTCTCTGTGCTCTTGTACTTGTTCTGATCCAGATGTTCTAAACACATTGAGGAAAGGTTCTGCTCTGTTCTGTCAGTGACACTGTTTTAGTATCAATAGTGATGATTATTTTGGGTCTTTTTGTCGGCTCTAACATGTATAATGTCCTGTGATGTACTGACCCATGTTGTTGGACTTGAGCAGTGGAACAGGACGAGTCTGGAGTTGACTGTGTGTGTTTTGTTTCAGCTCAAAGGACCAAACATGACTGAACGACTCAAAGAAACACACTCTCCTCAAAAGCGACCGCGCTGCAAAATATCTTCACCAAGGTCAGAAATATGTAATATATATAATATATATAATATATAAATAATAATATATAATGTATAATATATGTCAGAGGAGCCACGGGGTCTTAAAAGTCTTAAAAAGGTCTTACATTTCTTAAAATGTTGCCCACACCAGTTTGTCAAATCTCAGAAGCTCCTGGAGGCACCAGTGATAACAACTGTTGTTGTGTCCTTAGGCAGGACACTTCACCCACATTGCCTAGTGTGTGAGTGATGATGATGGTCTCAGGGGCCGATGGTGCAGATTGACAGTCTTGCTTCCGTCAGTCTGCCCCAGGGCAGCTGTGGCTACAGTAGTAGTTTACACCACAGTGTTGAGTGAATGAAATAATAAAGTGTAAAGAACTTTGAGAGTCTTGAAAGACGCTGTATAAAAGTAATGACTAATTCATTTAAAAAATGAATTCATAATTAATAAAAAAATAAATAAAAATCATGTTCCTAAATGAAGGCTTAAATTCTTAAAGTATCTTGTGTCAAGTCTAGAGCAGAAGTAGGACCCAAAATGCAAAACTGCATTTCCAAAGTTGTTTAATGACAAATCAAAAAAATCCAAAACTCAAGACTAAATTGCCATGACAAGAGACACGGAGAAACTCGGACAGAGACAATGGACCAACAAAGGGCAGACGAGAACACAGGGTATAAAAGCACATCGACACAGGTGAAACACATTAGGGCGGGGCAAACAATCAAGATGGGAAGTAAAACTCAAAACTACAAGCAGACAAAACAAATGTCAAAATAAAACACTAAAGGCACACTACAGGAAAAAGATATCAAAATAAGCAAAAACAACAACTACAAAACATGAACCATGACATCTTGTCCAAGTCTTATTTTTTACACAAAGGTCTTAAATTCAATTAGCCTATTTTTTGTTTACTCACACGAGCTGGAGGGAGGAAAAAAAAGAGGTAGATAGGCCTGTGCACCGCCAAGTCATTCACCCACAACACACTAAAAGACAGAATATCTGTCCATTCATATAAACTCTGGTCCTGGTCTGGTCCTGGTCTGGTCCTGGTCTGGTCCTGGTCTGGTCCTGGTCTGGTCCTGGTCTGGTCTAAACTGGACTTGTGTGTTTCAGGTTGGATCCTGCTGGAGAGCGCTGGATGGTTCCAGGTCTGAGGAAGTGTGAGTTTGTTTTGTTTCCTTCACACAGTAAAGTGCAGAGAACAGCTCAGGTCATTCACTCAGGTCATTCACTCAGGTCATTCACTTTGTTTCAAATGTCGACATCTCTGTGACAGCTGCGTGACAGGTGCACTAAACATAGATTACGTTCAGACTGCAGCCTGAAGTTTCCCAAATCTGATTTTTTGTCTCTATGTTCCTGTATCTGATCTTTTAATGTCTGAACCACACAGATCTGATGTTTTCAAACATGACCCAGGACACTTGGATCTGTGCTCCTGAAACTGATCCATATCTGATCTTTAACATGTGACTTCAGTGTGAACAGTCAGGTCACATTCATCCACCTACACGTTATCAACAAGACACAAACGTCACTACACTGAGTAGGAGAAAACGTCATGTGACTGAAGTGAAGCACATCTGTTAAGGTTTGGCAAGAGGGACCCCAAAGCAGAACCAGAACACAGTCAAGTTTAAACAGTTTATTGTACAAACGAAGGCAGGCTGAGGAGGCAGGGAACTGGCCAACTTCTCCGGAGGCAACGGCAGACGACCAGGAGACACCGAACAGGACGGAATTATCTGGCGAAGTGGTGATGATCTGAGGTAGATGAAGAGATTGACAGGTGTGTCTCGTCTGCTCCGGAAGAAGCCAGCCACGCCCCCTGCCACACTCAAGCTCTGAAACAGAAAAGGGAGGGGGAGAGAACAAAAACACAAATCCTAACATCTCCACTCACCACAAAACACCACCACCAAAAACCTGGTCCTTCTCCTTCTCAATCTCCTCCTTAAAACAAGTCAGTTGTTCATGTTGTGGCTCCGGTACGAGAGGAACTTTAAAATCTCCAGGTGCTCGATGCTGCGTCCATGTTTGGACAACTTGTGTAAACACAGAGACGCTCGCTGCGGTTGACGTCGTCGTGTCTCCAGTGTCACATGTGGGACACTTTTGGATCGTTTAATGTTCACACTGGAGTCACATACAAGTCACATTTAACTGGAAATGTGAACGAGCTCGAAAAAACATCGGATTTCACAAAAAAATCGAAATTAAGCGTTAAACCCTGAAGTCTGAACGTAGATTTAGACTCAGTCAGAACAAAAGACTGAGGTGAAGTGTTTGTGTTTCAGACTCCTGTGACGTTTCTCTGGACCCAAACTCAGCTCACAGACGTCTGCTTCTGTCTGACGACCATCGGACTGTGACTCATGTGGAGGAGGAGCAGGAGTATCCAGATCATGACGACAGGTTTACAGACTGGCCTCAGGTCCTGAGCTGCACTGGCCTGAGGGGGCGCTGTTACTGGGAGGTGGACTGGAGCGGGGCGGTTGATATAGCAGTGAGTTACAGAAAGATCAGACGGAGCGGAGAGGAACTGGAGTGTGCGTTTGGATTCAATGATCACTCCTGGAGTCTGAGGATCTATAAGGATGGACAGTACTTTCTCACTCACAACAGCAACGTAACACGACTCTCCCGCTCCTGTCACTCAAGGAGAGTGGGCGTGTCCTCTGGTAAAGGGGGCGTGTTCTTTGGCAGAGTGGGCGTGTTCCTGGACTCTGAGGCTGGAGTTCTGTCCTTCTATGACGTCTCCTCTGATGGAGAACTGTTCCTCCTCTGGACCTTCTCCTCGTTCTTCTCTGAGCCTCTGTTTCCAGGGTTTGGACTGTGGGATCAAGGTTCCTCTGTGACTCTGGTGAGTGACGAGACAAAACAGAAGAGAAACTAGACTTGACCCACGATGACGACACAAGAACGAGAACAAAAGAATATAGCTGCAAGCTGCAAGGTCTAAACCAGGTCTAAACCAGGTCTAAACCAGGACTAAACCAGGACTAAACCAGGTCTAAACCAGGTCTAAACCAGGACTAAACCAGGACTAAACCAGGACTAAACCAGGACTAAACCAGGTCTAAACCAGGACTAAACCAGGACTAAACCAGGTCTAAACCAGGTCTAAACCAGGTCTAAACCAGGTCCATGGGTGTATTCTAGTCTCTGTGCTCTTGTACTTGTTCTGATCCAGATGTTCTAAACACATTGAGGAAAGGTTCTGCTCTGTTCTGTCAGTGACACTGTTTTAGTATCAATAGTGATGATTATTTTGGGTCTTTTTGTCGGCTCTAACATGTATAATGTCCTGTGATGTACTGACCCATGTTGTTGGACTTGAGCAGTGGAACAGGACGAGTCTGGAGTTGACTGTGTGTGTTTTGTTTCAGCTCAAAGGACCAAACATGACTGAACGACTCAAAGAAACACACTCTCCTCAAAAGCGACCGCGCCTCAAGATATCTTCACAAAGGTCAGTAGTCCATCCATCCATTTTCTTCTGCTTTTCCGGGTCCAGACTTCCTCCACCCCAGACACTTCCTCCAGCTCCTCCTGAGGTGTTCCCAGTCCAGTCCAGAGACATAGTCCCTACAGTGTGTCCTGGGTTTTCCCCGGGTCCTCCTCCCGGTGGGACATGAACATCTCCTGAGGGAGACGCCCAGGAGACATCAGAACAGACGTCCTCCCCTCAGACGCTCCTCTCCACGTGGAGGAGCAGCGGCTCTACTCCGATATATATACATACAGTGATGAGAGACAATGAAACTTATGAGATGCTCAGATGTTGCCCAGCATCAGGTGCTGGGGAACCAGGGCACCTTGATGAAAAATGGGCTACTGGAACACGGCGGAAATGGGCGAGATGCGAACAAGGCTCTGTTGGAGCTACTACTACAGTAACCCTAGGCAGAGGGGTTACATGAACAGGATGTGGGAGAAATGGTTATTACGATACCCACAGTCCAAGCTAACGGCCAAACAACTAGTAGCTCAGTGTTCCAACATCCACAAACGGCAACTGCATCACAACTAGAGATTGATGAGGTACAACACAAATGCCACGGCAAGGGGGAACCAGTGTGCCAGGTCAGAGGGGAGTTGACACCAACTCCCCAACCAGAGATTGGGTACGAAGCCCCAATAAGTATCACGCTGAGCGAGGCAGCGACTGACCTGAAAGATAAGATCATGGCCCGAATGAACACAAGGCAACCCCGATGCCGGTTACAGAGGCTAAGTGAAGTACCATCTGAAAGTCTCCTAGACGATGTGAATGCAGCACTGACAGTGATCCCTACCACAACAATCACTGAAACCAATGAGCTGAGGCTATAAGAGTAATGAGATGATGATTTAGAGGCTAAACTGTGGACTCTAGATGTGTGGCTCTGGTCCTGGTCTGGTCCTGGTCTGGTCCTGTTCTGGTCTGGTCCTGGTCTGGTCCTGGTCTGGTCTAAACTGGACTTGTGTGTTTCAGGTTGGATCCTGCTGGAGAGCGCTGGATGGTTCCAGGTCTGAGGAAGTGTGAGTTTGTTTTGTTTCCTTCACACAGTAAAGTGCAGAGAACAGCTCAGGTCATTCACTCAGGTCATTCACTCTGTTTCAAATGGTTCAAATGTCGACATCTCTGTGACAGGTGTGTGACAGGTGTGACAGGTGTGTGACAGGTGCACTAAACCTAGACTCAGTCAGAACAAAAGACTGAGGTGAAGTGTTTGTGTTTCAGACTCCTGTGACGTTTCTCTGGACACAAACTCAGCTCACAGACGTCTGCTTCTGTCTGACGACCATCGGACTGTGACTCATGTGGAGGAGGAGCAGGAGTATCCAGATCATGATGACAGGTTCACAGACAGGCCTCAGATCCTGAGCTGCACTGGCCTGAGGGGGCGCTGTTACTGGGAGGTGGACTGGAGAGGGGCGGTTGTTGTAGCAGTGAGTTACAGAAAGATCAGAAGAAAAGGACGGAGACGGGAGTGTGTGTTTGGATTCAATGATCACTCCTGGAGTCTGAGGATCTATGAGGATGGACAGTACTTAGTCACTCACAACAGCAACATAACACGACTCCCCCGCTCCTGTCACTCAGAGAGAGAGGGCGTGTCCTCTGGTAAAGGGGGCGTGTTCTTTGGCAGAGTGGGCGTGTTCCTGGACTCTGAGGCTGGAGCTCTGTCCTTCTATGACGTCTCCTCTGATGGAGAACTGTTCCACCTCTGGACCTTCTCCTCGTTCTTCTCTGAGCCTCTGTTTCCAGGGTTTGGACTGTGGGCTCAAGGTTCCTCTGTGACTCTGGTGAGTGACGAGACAAAACAGAAGAGAAACTAGACTTGACCCACGATGACGACACAACAACAAGAACAAAAGAATATAGCTGCAATATAGCGGCAAGGTCTAAACCAGGACTAAACCAGGACTAAACCAGGTCTAAACCAGGTCTAAACCAGGTCTAAACCAGGTCCATGGGTGTATTCTAGTCACATATCACTGACATGAGGCATTTTTCACGGTTGACCAGCAGGGGGTGCAAAGACATTTAAAAACATTTAAAGGTGCATTATGTCATTTTTCTGGTGGAGGATGTGTTGACCTTGGTGGCCAAACCAGAAGTCCGACATCTTGATAGATTTATTTATATTTTAATCAACATGTGCCAAAATGTGGAAAAATGTCAGGGTCAGGAGGAGAACAGGGGAAGTCTGGAGTTGACTGTGTGTGTTTTGTTTTCAGCTCAAAGGACCAAACACAACTGAACGACTCAAAGAAACACACTCTCCTCAAGAGCGACCGCGCCTCAAAATATCTTCACCAAGGTCAGTAATATGTAATATGTAATATATGTGTATGTATGTAGGTGTACCTGTGTGTATAGTGATCCCTACCACAACCATCACTGAAATCAATGAGCTGATCTACACTTCAGCAGCAGTGATCCTAGAGGTGTTGGGCTATAAGAGCAACCATGGAGCCATGAGATATGATACCCACCATGGAAAAGACGGTTAGAGGCTAAAATCAAGGAGGCGTGGAGAGAAGTGAGCCAACTGTCAGAGGCCCAAAAAGGTGCAAAGAAAAAGCAAGTGCCCAAGAGGAACAACCAGATGCCCATACCTGAAGCACTCGAAACTGCCAAACAAAGGCTCCAAGCCTTGGCCAGCCGCCTAAAGAGGTACACACGAGATAATGAAGCCAGACGAATAAACCGGCTGTTCGCAACACAACCGGCGAAAGTGTACGCTCAGTGGCAGGGTAATAACACCAGAGCATACCCACCAAGGCTGACTGAGAGGTACTGGAAAGGCATATGGGAGAGGGAGGCATCACATAACACCGATGCACAGTGGCTGGTGGATCTGAGAAAAGACCACAGCAACCTCCCTGAACAGAATCCAGTCACCATCACAGTGGCAGACATCCAGGGAAGAGTCTCTCAGGTATGAAAAACCCTGACATGATCCATGCGTACTGGCTAAAGAAGCTCACTGCCCTCCATGAGCGCCTGCAGCACAGATGAACCAGCTGCTAAGGGATGGGACTCACCCTGAATGGTTAACCCAAGGGCGTACGATCCTGATCCTGAAGGATCCCTCAAAGGGTGCAGTCCCATCCAACTATTGGCCAATAACCTGTCTCTCCACAACATGGAAGCTCATGTCAGGCATCATCGCGGTTAAGATAAGTGGGCACATGAATCAATACATGAGTGCAGCACAAAAGGGTATCGGCAAAAACACCAGGGGAGCCAAAGCACCAACTCCTGGTGACCGAAAAGTCGCCCACGACTCCAGTAAGACCAACCTGTGCACTGCCTGGATTGATTACAAGAAATCCTCTGACTCAATACCACACACATGGATCACTGAGAGCTTGGAGCTGTACAATATCAACAGGACTCTAAGAGCCTTCATTGCAAACTCGATGCGGTTGTGGAAAACCACCCTTGAAGCCAATGGGAAGCCACTTGCACAAGTGTCCATCAAATGTGGCATATACCAAGGAGACTCACTGTCCCCACTACTGTTCTGCATCTGAACCCCCTCAGCCAAATCATCGACCGCACTGACTACGGATACGACTCAGAAACGGGGCCAACATCAGTCACCTCCTCTACATGGACGACATCAGCTGTAC